AAGTATCCCAAGTGATCCCTGAGGCCCTGCTTTGTTAGTCCTGCATGCCGCGGCCGTCAGGGCCGAAGTGTCCCGAGTGACGCTACCTCACGTTCCTCCACACTTCTCCCCCGGCACTACTACCCATTCCTTCGGACTCCTCCCACCGCCTCACTCTTCGGTTCCCCAATCCTCGGGACTCTTCTCAATTCCTCGGGACTCCTCTTGTGATGAATCCGGCTGCTCGCGGCATTTTCCTCCATTCCGCGTCGAGCATTGCTAGACGCATGCTTCTGCCCACGCGCCTACTGGCATATGGCTTGTTCTGTTTCTCAGCACTCTACCCCACTCCTCCCCACTCCTCGGGACTCCTCCTCCCTCCTCCAGCCTTACCCCCACTCCATCGTACTCCTCGGCACTCCTCGCGCCCCCTCCCAACTCCATCGCCCTCTTCGGCACTCAAGTATCCTCTCTCCATCTCCCTCCTCCGCACTCGTTCCCATTTCCCAAAACTAATCCCCATGTCATCGCACTCCTCCGCGCTCCCCCCACTCCCCCGCACTCCATCGCACTCCTCGGCACTCCTCCCCACTCCTCCAGACTCCTCCCTTCGTCTCACTCTTCGATACTCCTCCCCTCTCCTCGGGGCTCTCCCTACTTCGTCGCACTCCTCAGCACTCTACCCTGTGCCTCCCCATTCTTCGGGACTCCTCCCCATTCCTCCGGACTCCTCCCCATTCCATCGCTATCCTCGGTACTCCTCCCGACTCCTTCCGACTCCATCGCACTCCTCGAAGTCCTCCCCTCTCTTCCAGACTCCTCCCTCCATCTCACTCCTCGGCACTCCTCCCCACACCTCCGGACTAATCCCCGCTCTTCGGTACTCCTTCCCACTCCTTCCCATTCCTCCCTATTCCATTCCATCGCACTCCCTCGCACTCCTCCGCACTCCTCTGGAGTCCTCTCTACTGTGCTCTATCGCAGTCCTCGGCGCTCCTCCCCATTCCTCGGGACCCCTCCCTACTCTCATGACACTCTCCTCGGGCCTCCCTTCTCATCCTACCTCCATCGCACTCCTCCGCACTCCTCCCCATTTCTCTGGATTCCTTCTCACTCTATCGCACTCCCCAACCCTCGCGTTCCTCCCTGACCCCCCCTCTTTCATATTGGCGCCGCATTTGCAGAGGAAGAGCCCACCCAGCGAGCTTGCATTGAGGGCCCCCCAAATCCCCTCTTCAATAGTGGCGTTGAGCAAGCCCACGGAGGACGGAACATCGAAGCAACATTGAAGAAGTGGGTTAGGGTCTCTGCCGGTGAACTCCGCGGTGTCCAACCCTTGCAATGCTCGGTACGACGGCGGGGCGAGACCAGGTCACTACCGTTTGGCCATGCCAATCAAGATTGGGGAGCGGGGTCAAAGGGGGTCTCCGGCTTCCAACTCCCGCCGTATAGCGTGGCGCGCCTGGAGACGACCTCGCGTTGAACCACTGGCCGCGTCCACCCCCAGAGGCCCCGACCCCCACCCCCCAGCCAGCGAGGCAGCCGATGAGGCAGCAGGCGAGGCAGCCAACGAGGCAGCCAACGATGTATCCAACGAGGCAGCCAACAAGGCAGCCGACCAGGCAACCGACGAAGCAACCAACAAGGCAGCCGATACGGCAGCCAACTAACCATCAAGCCGCCCCACCAGGTAAGCAAGCAAACACCCAAACAGGCAACCGGTCAGGCAGCCAACCGGGCACCATGCAGCAGACAACGCAACCGATGAGGCATCTAACCACCAGTGGTTTAGCCAACGAGGTAGCCAGAATGGGGTATCCTAGGTTGGACCCCCTTGCCGCCCGCGCCTCTGCGCGCCGTGCACCTCTGTTGCGCGCCTGCGCCTCTCCCACGTAGCTAGAATGGGGCATCCTAGGTTGCATCTGCTGACTGCGGCCAGGAGCCGCTAGGCGGCAGAGAATCGCCCACCGGGTCAATTCAGATCTCATTTACAACGTGCTACTAGCTTCAAAGAAATCTGGCATCATGTGCACTGGTTCAGTTTGAAATTCGACCTGTCGTACATGGTGCAGGCGATGTGATGCAATCTATGTGGTGCGCATCCTATGTGGTACAATCGGCGTGGTGCTGATAATGTGGTCCACTCTGCGATGACTGCTTGGCGCTGGCTGGCATATCACTGCGGCCGCGCTAGCGCGCGCAGCGCGCGCAGGCTCGCGCGCGGAACGGCAACATAGTCTGGCGCGACCGACGCGGCCGCGGTGGCGCTGACGGGCGGGCACTCCCCAGCGTGACTCGCAGGCCGCGAAGACGCGCGGGCATTTCAGTGCGAGTACGTGACCCGGGCGGGCGCTATAAAATTGGCGACGCCGACGGCGGCAAACACGATCATGATAGCAGCGATGTTGGTGACGATGGTGACGAGGACGACGGCAACGCCAATGACGGCGCCGATGCTGATCACGCCGATGACGATGATGGTGTCTACGCATCGGTGATGAAAGTCTTCGAACGAATTCGACATGCGCGCGCGGCCGACGTGCGCGAGCGACCCACTTGGTATTTGACAGGGATCGTGTCCCGCAAGCGCGTGCGCAAGGG